GTATTTTGTATTAGCAGCACAAATGGACTAAGACATCACTGTTTCAGAATGTGATTTTATTTGGAAATAGGGTCCATGCAGGTGTAATCAGTTAAGATGGGGTCGCACTGCAGTAGGGCAAGGCTTCATCAAATAAGCCTCGTGACCTTACAGGAAGGCAGAAACTTGGACACAGAGAAGAGACACACAGAAAGAAGACAGCTACGTGAGAGCAGAGGCAGAGGTTGGAGCCACAAGCCCAGGAGCTCCTGCGGGCCCCAGAAGCTGGAAGAGGCAGGAAGGATCCTCTCTGTTAGAGTCTTCAGAAAGCGTGGCGCCGCCGAGGCTTTGATGTGGACGTCCAGCCTCAGAACTCTGAGACAGTAAACTTCAGTTGTTTAAGCTCATTTTATGGAAATGAATAAAGCTATGAGCATACATGGTAAATTGCCTTTCAAATGGACCCGAAAGGCACGAACCGAAATCACGAACATGATTACCTTTGGAGGAGGAGACTGTTAACCTTCCCACAAAATCAGTTCTTGGAAGTAGGGACATGGCTGGCATCTTTTATATCATTCTCTACTTTAAATACGTTTCCCAAAACAAACAGACAAACCTTCCGGTGACAGGATGGGAGGACTGAAGTGATGCGAGACATGGTGGGATGTGAATCCCAAAAGGGAATACTGGAGGAGCACTGACCACCGGCAGGGCACAAAAGCACGTGAGGACGGAAAGACTTTGCTGGATTAGAGACAAGCCAGTCACGGCTGGTGCAGTGGCTCGTGCCTGTAATCCCAGCACTTTGGGAGGCAAAGGCAGGACGAACACTTGAGACCAGGAGTTTGAGACCAGCCGGGGCAACACAGCAAGCTCTCATCTATACAGAAAATTTGAAAAAAAAATAGCCAGGTGTGGTGGCATGCACCTGCAGTCTCAACTACTCAGGAGGCTGAGGTGGGAGGATCACTTGAGCCTGGAGGTCGAGGCTGCAGTGAGCCATGATTGCACCACTGCACTCCAGCCTGGACGACAGAGCGAGACTCTATGTCAAAAGGAGGAAACAAGCCAGTCATTAGTGGCCTTAGGAGGCAGCTTCTCTAGAGAGAGGTAGGCACAGAAGTGAGATGGTGCAGGCTCAGGAGAAGAGGGTGCTGAGGGAAATCTGGCTCTGAATGAAAGGTGACAGGGAAGATGGTAGTGCCCTGTGGGTAACACCCCCCATGGGCACCGAGGAAGGAGAACTGTGTAGACCCCAGGCACAATTAGTGCCTGAAGTATAACTCACAGCTTACTCTATCTAGCTTATATATATAATCATACTTAGTTCCATATAATCCTATATAATCAGATAACGGATGGAGTCACAGCTGTACTGACACCTTTAGTGCGGGTTTACATAATCCTTCCATATAACCATATAGTAGTTTGTAGGAGGAGGAATGCCCAGAGCAGTCACGGAACAGAAGCAGTACATGGGAAAACAGCCAGACCAGGACGAGAACCAAAGACCCAGGCGGAGGCGTCCCTGCCTGAAAGGGCGTACGCTGTAAGGCAGGCTTGGAGCAAGAGCCTCTCCTCCTGATAAAGGAGTTGTGGTACCTTGCATCCAGTTCCTGTGGAAAGTAGGCCTCAGGCCTGAGATCCTGGAAGTAACTGAAGGAGAAGAACCTCTCTGGTGTGACCAGTCACGGTGGCTGTACACCCTGTCAGTCTTTTCTCACTTCTGTGCTAGCTCAAATCATCCTCCCATAAATATCTTAAGAGAAGAGCACAAGTCTGTCAGTTCCTACTGCATTGGCTTACAGAATCCTTCTATTAGAAATCCTTTGAAGTCTCCAGCCCCCAGATAAGAAGTGTTGTGCACACCTGTTGTACACAGTCCACCTCCTTGTCTCCATGACCTAATGGGGGTGGACCCCTTTTCTGTACACGACCCTCTACTACTGCGCATGGCACGGCCCCCTACTATGCACCACCCACCTCTCTGCCCAGGTGACCTAATGGGGTGGCCCCCTTGCTTGTGACTCGTGATTATGTATGCCCTATCACTAAGCCTGTAAATGATGACCTCACTCACGACCCTTCCCACTGCTTGTACCTAATAAACACAGATGCTTCTGAGAGTTCCAGGCCTCGCCTGTCTCTGCTCATAGGTGGCGTGCCCCACCCCCCCAGTCCAGATGCCCTCCACCAGTTCTTCAGTGTCCTGTCTCTCTACTTCTCGGATCCTGCACCTCAGCACAGCATAAGGGACACCCCATGACCCTTTGGGGCCAACAGCCCTACAGTGCCCAGCTCCCAGGAGGAACAAGAAGGAAAGGGAGCCGTCAGCTGGACTCCTCAGTGTCTAATGAGCACAGGGCCCTGGGCAAAAGAGAAATCAGCTCCACACAAGTTATTCCAGACTTATTATCAGGCACACAAGCATGAGAACCCTCTCCCGCTGTCCCAGACCACCCCTGACATTTGTCTGGTGCTTCCTACCCTTCCAGCACTTTCCTGGGCAGGATTGTGCTTGCACCTCCAACCACAGGATTGGGCAGGATGGACGGGATGACCGGTAGATGAGGAAAGCAAGTTGGAGCTCAAGTCTTCATACTCTCTCTTGGTCTCAACATTCAAAAGGAGGTGTGTGATTCACAGTTCCAGGGCTTTCTGTCCTCGCTCTGAGGCCGGTGACTCTGCGGGGCTGTGGGCATTGCACATCCATCCATATCCGAGCTCCTGGTCTCCAGGCTCCAGTTCCAGCCCATCCTCACTGCGCCTGTGCAGTGGGCCTTTTAGACCTACTCACAACCGTGTGGCCCTGGTTTAGTTTGTTTAAACAAAGCTATTCATTTTCTATTTCACTGTGAATCTCTCCAGGGCAGGAACCAAACTTTTTTTTTTTGAGACAGGGTCTTACTGTCTCCCAGGCTGGGGTGTAGTAGTGGCACAGTCACGGCTCACTGCACTCTGGACCCCCTGGGCTAACGTGATGCTTCCACTTCAGCCTCCCAAATAGCTAGGACTTCAAGGGCACGTCACTGTGCATGGAGAATTTTTTTTTGCATTTTTTGTAGAGATGGGGTATCCCTACATTGCCTAGGCTGATCTTGAACTCCTGGGCTCAAAGGATCCATCTGCCTCGGCCTCCCAAAGTGCTGGGATTACAGGTGTAAGCCACTGTGCCTGGCCAACAGGAACCAAACCTCATTCATGCTCGTGTCGCCCCAGGCCAGGCACTGTAGCTTGTGTGAAAATTGTCAGAATTAAAATGGAGTCACTAACGTTAAGAAAACCCTGACAGAGCTGGGGAAGGCCACAAGGAGAGGGTTCTTACACGTGCATGCCTGATAACAAAAAGAACTCTGGAAAACCCACAGCCTTGGACAAAGGCCAGGGCAATCTTTCACAGAACGTGGCCCAGCCACTGACTGCCCTACCTTGAAGTAGCATCGCCTTCAATGTGGTTCTTTGTAGCCACAATTATTGCCAAACAATTGTGCAACCTGCCTCATTTTTAAAAAAGCTTTGCTTCTTTGCTTCCGGAAATATGCGCATAGTTTACCATGGCATGCATATTTCTACTGCAACGCTCTACAGCAAAATAAATACCTTTTTCTTTCAGAGATCTCTCTGTGATTTAGGTTGACCCTTGCATGCAATGGGCATTGAATAAATGCTGAATTGACTTAAATTTGTTCTGATGAGGAGGCAGTGCTGGCTGAGAAGACGCCCGGAGCTCCGAGGCAGCAGGGTGGTCTCTTGGTGCGCCTTCCACCCCCCACCCCAGCCCCACACTGCTCTATCTCAGCGACCTGATATGCCAGGGCTGAGCAGCCACTAAATGCCTTGGCATCCCTGCCTCATCAGAGTCTCGGAGCACCTACCCAACGAGGCAGCGGGCCTACTTCCTTCTACAGAACACCTTTACCACGCTAGGTTTAACCTGCTCAGGGTCTCACTGCCTTTCTCCGCCAGGCCAGTGGCCACAGAGACACCCTCCCCAGGGTTCGACTTAGAGTCGATTCTACCTCTCATTTTCTCTAAAAAAACCCCGACCAACCAACAAACCGAATTCCACACGCTGCATATTTTAAAAACATTTCAAGGTTTACTCTTAAAAAAGGAAGGAGAACTTGGGAGGCTGAGGTCGGTGGATCACTTGAGGTCAGGAGTTCCAGACCAGACTGGCTAATATGGTGAAACTCGGTCTCTACTAAAAATACAAAAATTAGCTGGGCATGGTGGCAGGCGCCTATACTCCCAGCCACTCGGGAGGCTGAGGCAGGAGAATCGCTGAGGCAGAAGTAGGAGGTTGCAGTGAGTCGAGATCGCGCCACTACACTCCAGCCTGGGCAACAAGAGGGAAACTCCATCTCAAAAAAGAAAAAAAAAAAAAAAAGAAAAGGAAGGCGGAAATATTTCTCAAGTAGTGATTGCAACTTCCAAAGTCAAATTTTCATTCCAAGCCATAAATGGAGATGGCTGTCCATTTTTCTGGTACAAAATAGAATAAAAGGCGTCTTGCAAAAGCAAAAGAGAAAAGTAAAATCCTCCGGTAGAAAGCACCTCCATCTCCGCCTTCCGCCCCGGCCCCTCTAATCTCCAACCGTGAGTCTCAGGACGGGTTCCGCAGACGCTCACTGAAGGCAAACTTTTCCAGTGACCTTGAGGGTGGCTGCATTTGGAGACACGCGGAGAAGCAAATCGCCGCAGCTGGAAAGAGAGCTGGTCGAGAGTGAGAGGAACACGGGTTTTTCCTAAAGGAGAGCGGAAGCGAGAACCGGGTTCCCCAAGGGCCCGGGCCCCTCTGCCTCGCTCGGCCCCCGCGGCCAGGCTCCTGGCACCGCAGCCCGGGCGGTGCAGAAGAAGAGGCGGAAGGTGCTCCAGAACTTTCATTTTCCACCCTGCAGCAGCCCTGGGCGCCCGCCGGACAGCTCGGATTCTTGCGAAAGAGCGAAGTCCAGCAGGGGCGCGGCGGGGCGCGGGTGGAGGACGGGGTGGGGGCGGGTCCGGGCGGTGGAGGGGCGGGGGCAGGGGCGGAGGCGGGGTGGAGCCGCCGAGGGCCGGGCCCCCTCCGTGGGCGCGGGGCTCAGTCCCCAGCTCCCGCCCGTGCGCACACACGCGCTTCCTCGCCTGCGCTCCTGGGCGTCCGGAGGCGAAGGTCCCGCAGCGTTCACGGGAATCCGGGTCCCCGCGAGTCCGGGATCCGCTCCTCCAGCCGCGCCCGGGGCGCACGAGCCTGCCAGCCTCGGGGAGAGCGCGCGGGGCGCCGCGGGGGTCCTGCGGGAAGATGCGGAAGCCCGACAGCAAGATCGTGCTGCTGGGGGACATGAACGTGGGGAAGACGTCGCTGCTGCAGCGGTACATGGAGCGGCGCTTCCCGGACACGGTCAGCACGGTGGGCGGCGCCTTCTACCTGAAGCAGTGGCGCTCCTACAACATCTCCATTTGGGACACGGCAGGTGAGGCCGGCGCCGCCGGAGACACGCCGCGCTGGGGCTCCCGGGGGACCGGGGCGCGGGGCTTCCAGCGGGGGGACCGGACGCGCTCAGGGTCCCGGCCTCGGACAGCGGATGCCCTTCCCGGGGCTTCCCACTTGTCCTCCCTTGCTGGTTGGGCTGAGCTCCGCCTGCTCAGACACTCGGTGATCTCGGCGACAATCCAGGGTGCAGAGAGCGCGCGGGTCGCTGGTGTCCCTCAGCGGCCTTTGCTCCCGAGCCCCGCGCTCCTGCTCTGCTGCCCTGGGAACCAGAGACGCTCCTGTGGCTGCTCAGTTGGGTATTTTCAGTTTTTAAGTACCCACAGGAACAGGATCTCCGTTGAGATGCGCTCGAGGGGCGAGCAGAGCTGGTGTTATTAGCCCCTTGTTAAGAAAGAGAAAACTGAGGCACAGAGTTTCTCCTGCTGGGTTTAGTCGGGAGGGAGGACACAGAACTGGAGCCTCTGGACCTCCCGGGCCCGGAGCGTATCCGCCTGTTACAGTTTATCTTCTGCTTGATCTTGTTACAGTTTATCTTCTGCTTGATCTTGTCTCAAATGCGTCACATGGGTTTGGAGTAACTTACTGTGGAGGCATTTTTAAGATAGGTAATGAGTTATTTTTAGTATGTAGTATTTGTGACTTTTTTTTTTTTTTGAGACGGAGTCTCACTCTGTCGCCCAGGCTGGAGTGTGGGTGGCGCGATCTCAGCTCCCTGCAACCTCTGCCGCCCGGTTCCAGCGACTCTCTTGCGTCAGTCTCCCGAGTAGCTGGGCTTACGGGCGCCTGCCTCCGCGCCCGGCTAATTTTTGTAGTTTTTAGTGGAGACGGGGTTTTGTCATCTTGGCCAGGTTGGTCTTGAACTCCTGACCTCGTGATCCACCTGCCTCGGACTCCCAAAGTGCTGGGATTACAGGCGTGAGCCACAGCGTCCGGGTGTGACTTTTCAAAAGTACAACTTTGAGGATCTCAATTCAAGCTGTTTAACTTTGGAAAATGACACTGGTGATTGTAACATTGTAATAGAATAGATTCACTCCCCCTTAAAAAACAGTAAGATACTGTAACGGAATGAAGAAACTGGAAGTAGTATGACACATTTTCAATGAGTGTGAGTTTTTAGAAGCCTGAAACTCTGAAAGTTCTGACTTCTTTTGTGTCAGCACTTTAAAAAGTCATATACCCAAAGGCCCCGTTCGAAATGTTTTAATTGCCATCTCAGATGCACCAATGTGCTGATAAACAAAATCATGATGAATTCTCTGTTTAAGCCTGAATTAACGAAGTTCACAGAGGTACTTCCAATTCTCCCCCTCCCTTCTGCCTTCTTTGATGCTTTGTGTTTTTATTATTATCCCAGTTAACATCGTGACTAATTTATTGGCAATCATCCTGTGAAAACAGCGTCCCTCAGGTAAAGATGTGCATTTCCCTGATCTTTGCTCCAACTCTGCCTTCCCCCCCTGCCAGGCTGCAGGGTGAGGTTTATTGAGCTGATTCCCTCACACTGAGCATTTGGTAATGATGGAACGCAAGCTCTAGGAGTCAAATCAAACCCAATGCACAAACCCAGTTTGCTTTTGTACAAAGTCAAGTCAAACCCAATTTGCTTTTATACAAAGCTTTGCCCCTCTGCCGCGTTTGCTGGCTGGCTGGGATTTACTAGTGCACTGGTTTACGAGTTACAAAGTGGATGCAGGAGTGCTACGGGGGGACCCAAACCGAAGCCCCCGTAGTGGCCACCGTTGGAGGCAGACTCTTAACACGCAGCGACTGATGTTTCTGGAACAAGAGCTGTCCTTTGGTGCTTGAATGGGCCCCTGCGTCGAAGGGAGTGAAGTGGCAGTTTCGTTTCCACTGGTCTCTTGATTCTTCAGCACCAAGGACATGATGCAGCCAGAATCTTGATCACCAGAGGATTTTGGCAGTTGTGCTGATGTGACGTCCTAGATGTCTTGAAGAGTTCCTGGGGGTGGGGGCAGCAGCTCATTTCCTGGCAGTCGAGGCTGCTGCTGCTGTTTGTTCAAAAGACCCTAAGGGTGAGTCTAGTAGAGCTCCTCAGAGCAGAGGGTGGGCAGTCCCCTTCTTCACCTTCCTGATCTCCTGTGTACACACTCAGGCAGCCCTGGCCCAGAGTTGGCAGGGGCAGAGGGCACCCATGCCTGGCTCCTCAGTGGCCTGTGGCCTGACTGGGTCCTTGAAGGGAAAAGAGAGGTAGGAACAGATGCCTTTTCCATAATCATGGATGGAAATTCAGAGTTTAACTTGCAGGAGACTCCATTCTTTTCCTCCTTTTGTTTAGCTCCTGAATCTTTCCATCCCATCTCAAGTTGTTTTTGTTGTAATGGTCATAACCAAGGTAGAAAGAGAAGGACTAGCCAGAGGAGGAACCTTTTGAAGTTGCTTTTAGCAACACAGGCAGGGTGGGCTGGGGTGAGGGTGCAGGGGTGTGGAGGGTGACGGGATGTTTCACAGGAAAAATGCTTGCATGGGGTCGATCTACACCCAGTACCTGGCTGCTTGTGGCCCCCAAGGCGGGCGGTGGATGGAGCTGAAGAGGGAGAATAGCGGAGTCAGGGCGGAAGTGCATTGCCTAGTCCGGTGACAGAACAGTCCTCCAGAGGGAGGTGTGGTCATTTGCATGTTAAAGATGGGAAGACAGGGCTGGGGCCTTGGCTCTTGTCTGTCATCCCAACACTTTGGGAGGCTGAGGCCGGCAGATACCTGAGGTCAGGAGTTCGAGACCAGCCTGGCCAACGTGGTGAACCCCCATCTCTACTAAAAATACAAAAATAGCTGGGTGTGTTGGCTGGGGTCTGTAATCCTAGCTCCTTGGGAGGCTGCAGCAGGAGAATTGCTTGAACCCGGGAGTGGAGGGTGTGGTGAACCAGATTGTGCCACTGCACTCCAGCCTCAGCAACAAGAGCAAGACTCCATCAAAAAAAATAAAATAAAATAAATAAAAAGATGGGAGGACAGCAGAGGTTAAGTGGGATTTAGAACTTGGTTCATCCAACTCTAGCACACCTCATCCCATTATGCCCTTTTAGGGGGCCCTTGTCACTCCCAACCATTGTCTAATTGGGCACACAGATGTGGAGTGGTTGCTGTGCAGAGGTGGATAATCCAGGGAGCAAGAGGAGGTTGCTCAGCGAGGAGGCAGAGTCCTGGAGAACATGCCCCTCGGTTCCTCTCTGTCTCCCGATTGCTCAACGGTCTACAACGGTGTTGTGATTTTGGCAAATATTAACTGAGCTTCCCTGGTGCTGGGCACTGTTTGGGCGCTCATACTCCAGCAGTGAGCAGGTCGCTGGCTGCTGCTCTGCAGGCTCTAGATTCCAGAGGAGGGGGAAGGCAGGCAAGAAGTGAATGGTACAGCTTCACATCTGATTGTTGCTCTGAAGAAAATACGACGGGGTGATAAGAAAGCACCTGGTGTGCCCAGGACAGAGCTGTTTCCCAGATCCCTGGAGACATGATGCCCTCTACATTCCTTTTCCTTCCCTCCTCAAGGCCGCGGCCTGGCAGCCAGGGGGTGGGGGGGGCAGTACCTGGCTCACGTTTGCATCTCTGGTACCTGGCCCTTGAAAACTCAGCTTAGAAGGCAGCAGGAACCCAGATTTGAGCCGCTTCTGTGCACCGGCATTCAGATCCAACTGCATCTATGGGGACCGGGTGTCGAGGGAGTGAGTGCATTTTGCATGTGGAATGGATGCACGTCTGTGGGGGCCTGAGGCCAGGCTGTGACAACAGAATAGTGGCCCCCTCCAAAAGGTGTCCACATCCTGGTCTCTTCAGAGTCCTCTGGGTGACTGAATGCTCTGGCCTTTGGGTCCTTCTGAGGCACCAACAGAAGGTTGTATGGCCGTGCCAGGGCCTGGTCTTCAGTGCAGGTGTTCCAGATGGTGGGCCTGCTCTCCAGCACAGGCATTCTGGATGGTGGGCCTCATAGTGTGAGCTTCCCAGCAATCTGCATGGCTGAGGACTACCCACATCACCAAACCCTGCTCCTCTTCGTTCAGCAATTCTTCTCTCATCCTATCTGTTCTTCATCATCTTAATGTAAACAGCAAGAAAAATCCACACCTTCCACACTTTGCTTGGAAATCTCCTCAGCTAAATATCCAGCTTCGTCGCATATGGTTTGACTTCTCTCATAGCTGTGGGGTAAGACTCAGCTGAGCTCTCCAGTACCACATCCCTGGTCCTCCAGCTTCCAATAATGCAATCCTCATTCCAACCTCAGGCTTCCACCTGTAATTGGCTTCTCCTAGTGGAGCTCTTCACTATGGGAATGCAGGTTTTCTCTGCTGTGCTTCTCACTTCCTTCTGATTCTTCACCAACAGAGCGGTTCACGTGCACCTTCCTGCTGGCCATCTGTTTAGGCTAATCCAGGCTGCCCTCTCATGATGCTCAAATCCTCCCAGATCTGCCATTGCCCAGTTCTAAAGCCACTTCCATGTTCATGGCAGCCTCTCTCTTCTCCCAGACCCAAAATCTGTATCCGTTTCTTATTGCTGCTGTAACGAATTAGTTAATTAAAACAACACAAATTTGCTGGACGTGGTAGCTCCTGCCTGTAATCCTAGGACTTTAGGAGGTTGAAGGGGGAGGATTACTTGAGCCCAGGTGTTCAAGACCAGCCTGGGCAACACAGAGAGACTGTCTCTACAAAGAATAAAAAGTTAGCCAAGTGCAGTGGTGCATACCTGTAGTTCCAGCTACGTGGGAGGCTGAGGTAAGAGGATTTCTTGCGCCTGGGAGGTTGAGGCTGCAGTGAGCCATGATCGTGCCACTGCACTCCAGCTTGGTCAGCAGAGCAAGACCCTGTCTTAAATAAATAAATAAATAAAAACAATAGATTTATTGTGTTAGTATCCTGGAGGTCAGAAGTCCTAAATGGCCTCTCACTGGGCTGAAGTCAAAGCTTGCAGGACTGTGTTCCTTTCTGGAGCCTGAGGGGAGGAACCTGTTTCTTAGAC